TATACTCAAATACTCATTATAATCCTATTTACAACAATTTCCAACTCCGTTTGAACAATAAAAATCACCCTCGGGCCCACGTGCCCGAATTCCGAAAATTTTCGAAGATAAACTTTACCCATAACCCCACGAACTCAAATATATAATTTATTTTCAATTTCATGTCCAAATTCGTGGTCAAAATCCAAAAATACCAATTTCTAGGTTTTTCTTCCAAATCCCAAATTTCTACAAATTTTCATGTCTAAATCCATATATAAACCTTGTATTTAACTCACAACTAGAAGAAATCACTTACCTCTTAATGATGATGGAACCCCTTCTCAAAAATCGCCTAAGTCCAAGTGGGAATGAGGGAAATGGGCTAAGTTTCGGAATAAAAAGCCCTTGGCTCCAGACGCAGATGTCGCATTTGCGACATCTGACTCGCAAATGCGATGGTCGCATTTGCGACAAATGCATCGCAAATGCGATGGTCGCATTTGCGACAAATGCATCGCAAATGCGAGACCAAGCTTCCCCTGCCAAGGTCGCATTTAAGACCAAGATCTTCGCAAATGTGAAGGGGACAGATCCGCAAAAGCGACGGATTGTTCGCAAATGCGTACCCTTCAGAAAATTCCCACCCTTCGCAAATGCGAACCCCTTCTCGCAAATGCGATGTTCGCATTTGCGACCAATACATCGCAAATGCGATTACACCAGAACCAGCAATCCAACTTCTTCACAAAACACTCCGACGCTACTCCGAAACTTAACCGAGCCCCGAGGCTCCAAATCAAACACCCACACAAGTCTAAAAACATAACACGAATTTGCTCGAGGCCTCAAATCACATCAAACAACGTCGAATTCATGAATCACACCCTATTCCAAGTTTAATGAACTTTAGAACTTCAAAATTCTACATTCGATGCCGAAACCTATCAAATCACGTCCGATTGACCACAAATTTTGCACAAAAGTCACCCGATATCAAAAAGTCCACTCCCGGTCAAACTTCTCAAAAATCTTCAAATTTCTAACTTTCACCAAATGACCCCGAAAGGACCTACGGACCTCCAAATCCACTTCCGAACGCGCTCCTAATATCAAAATTACCATACGGAGCTATTCTCAGACTTGGAATCCCAAACGGACATTGATAACACTAAAATGCATTTCAACCCAAATTTATAAAATTCTTCCAAAATGCTAATTTCCACAATAGGCGCCGAAACGCTCCCAGGTCATCCAAAACCCGATCTGAACATACGCCCAAGTCCGAAATCATCTTACAAGCTTGCTGGAACCTTCAAATCCCTATTCCGAAGTCGTTTACTCCAAAATCCAACCTTAGTCAATTCTTCCAACTTAAAGCTTTCGAAATTAGAATTTTCTTTCCAAATCAACTCCGAACTTCTCGAAATTCAATTCCGACCACGCGTACAAGTCGTAATACCTGAACTGAAGATGATCATGGCCTCAAACCTCCGAACGCGCGCTAGAGCTCAAAATGACCGGTCGGGTCGTTACAGTTTGGGCTGATTATCATGATTCTTGAGTTCCCGAGAGACTGGAGAGATTGATGACTGAGTGAGGCCGAGGGCCTGATTGTGAGAATATTTATGGGAGCGGGCTGCACGCCATAGCATGTTATTTCAATTCATACCATGATTGGTTTATTATAGCGCTTTTGCTAGAATGGCCCCTCCGGAGTCTGCACATCCACATTAAGCATAGGTACCTACTGAGTACGAGTGCGAGTGCGAGTGCCGAGCGACTGGGAGGATTGAGTGACTGCGAGGATGGAATGACTGTGAGGAACGAGTGAATGTGAGGTTGGAGTGAATGGGAGGACTAAGTGACGGATACTCTGAGAGTATGCACATGATTTCATTAATGTTTGTACTTCAGTTGGCATATATAACTGTCATGTAGTTACTGAGAAGTGCCAAATTCTGTTTCAATTGAACTTGACATGATTTAATTGTTTTGGCTTTAACTGTCGAACTTGAAAGCATGCCTACTTTCCTGTACTGAAATTCCGTAATTGAACTTTACCCGTGAAGCTCGTCACTACTTTCAGTCCAATAGTTAGTCTAGTTACTTACTGAGTTGATTGTACTCACGCTACACCCTGCACTTCGTGTGTAGATCCAGACGTTTTCGGACATGGTGGGTGCTGATTATCTGAGCAACTTAGTCATTCGAAGATTTCAAGATAGTTGTCCGGCATCTGCAAACCTTGACTCTCCTTCCCTATCTTTTAGCTTTATGTATTTAGTTACAACTTTTCTTAGACATTTTCAGACTTGTGTTGTATAGACGTTCATGTACTCAGTGACACCCTAGTTTTGGGAACTTCCGTATTGAGTTTTGATCTTTTATTCAGTTTATGAGAGCCTTAATCATTTAAACCTGTTTTAGTTCTTTTTTTTTTTGTAATTTAAAAGGGATGAAAATGTTTGAGTTGTTGGCTTGCTTAATACCATGTTAGACGCCATCACGATAGGTTAAGTTTTCGATCTTGACAATAACCAAAGAACATCAAAATCTCTGTTAATCCCCTTGTCAAATTATTCCTTTCTTGTTCTTCTTCCATTTAACTATGTAGAATCACATCTAAATTTCCTTTTCAACGAGAAATCCTAACATCATAAAACAGCCCCTTGTAAACGTTATAATTCCTTATATCTTATTCGGTTAAATCGCACAAATTAATGACATAATTAGCCACACTTATTTTTGCTAGTCACTTATCTATAGAATTTTATTATGAGAACCAAAGGATTATATCATTTTTTTTAAAATAGAAAAGCAAAGAGAACAAAAAGGGGAATTTTTTATGCCCAAATTCAAGGGATTGGTGGCTTTCTTGCAACCTTTGAAAGTGCTTTAGCTTTAACTTTGAGCAAAGTGGATTTTGGAGAATAAGAATAAATACATGCAAGTTTGATGTTGATTACAACGTGAGAGTTGAAATTTCTCATCTCATTTCGAACTACGTAGAAATGGGAGGGTTTCTCCTCGTTGTGCCGGCTAGTCTGATCTGAAAGTGTTTTGTGTAGGATTGCTAGCGATTTTTGTTGTATTTTACATTTTTTATGTCTTTTACATTTTGGCCTTTCTATTTATTTACTGTCTTTTAAGATGCTGATACTATTTTCAGGTTTCTGTTGTTGTTACGGATCTATTGTCTCTAAGTCGAGGGTCTCCCGGAAATAACCTCTCTATCCCTCCGAGGTAGGGATAAGGTCTACCCTCCCCAGATCCCACTAGTCGGATCCTACTGGGTTGTTGTTGTTGTTGCTGTTGTAGTATTTCCAACTACGTAGAAAAATATTGGTGCAATTTCACTTTTATTGATTTGCTTTTAAAGTTTTAGTAAAGGCCAAGGCCAGAGGAAATGCATAGTATATATGCTCCTTATCTTCCTCTTCTTTTTCCTTTTTTGACATGTGAACTGCATTATTTCTTTATTTGTATTAGAGATAAGATGCTTTTAATAATTTGTATTAAGTAGCATATTTCTTCAACGTGTAAGCTTGATTCTTTAATTAATCAATTATGCAGAAATATTTTTTTTTATTGAAATGCACGGTGAAACTCCAATTTAGAACATTTACCTACTCTAATATCATGTTAGTTTTATTTATTTTGTGTTAAGTATGCAACAATTTCCACCTGCTCCTCAAGAAATTAAGGGAAAAACGAATTTAAGTTAAAACAATATTATTAAGAGGCGTCTTTTTTTTTTCTTTGACCAAAAGAAACATATCAGAGTCAATGACATTAAACATTAATAACCACTTGCCATTTTCAGTAAATGGAAAAGGAAGAGAAAGAAGAAAAGAGGAAAGTGTGTAATGTCCAAAGAGTACATCCATCAATAATCTATGAATGAGATCACCAAGGAACGTGATTAAGGGATAAAATTCATTTACTTTTAATCAAATATGTTCAGTTTGAATTCTAGAAATAAAAATTTATCACAAGGAATATCCTTTTGATGAAGTTACAAATTAATCTAGCCAATAGAATTCGGTTTTTAAATAATACTACATAAAAAAATTAAATTAGTTACGGCAATAGAACCTGAATAACCATCCCCAAATAGTTATACCTTAATAAAAAAAATTCTAAATTAATCGTGCCAGTAAATCTCAAATTCAGAAGAGTTATTACATTTAAATTTTTTTTATCCAAATAGTTAATCGAATTCATTATCTACTTTTCCTAGTTTATATAAATAAATTATACGCAATTATATATAGTTAGGGACCGTTTGATGGGATATATTAAGAAAATTAATACATGTATTAGTTTTAGTATTTATTAGTCCCTTGTTTGGTTGTAGTTTTCAACTATTAGTTATACATAATGTTAAGCACTCCACTATTTTATATATAGCAAACCATCACATTAGCAATATTATAATTTTTGATACAAAGATAAATATGTATAAGGACAGAATTGTCCTTTCAAAACCTTTAATATACCAAAATAAATAGTGAATAAAAAATAATCTGAGTATAATTAATCTCAATATTATTAATACACCATATTCAGTACTATTCTTATACATTCTATCAAAACAACCCTTATAGATATATTATACATAAATTTTATACATATTATATATTCGTTAGCTATTTTTAATTTAAGTATATATATTATATATTCGTTAATTATTTTTAATTTAAGTGATTAATGATATTATATATTTGTTAATACACCAAAGTGGTGTATAATACACACTCTTTTAAAATTTTTAGTATGTAGTATTATTCTAGCGTTCAACAGGTGTATAAGAATAATTTGGAAATAAGTTCGATAATTAAAGTATGTATTTTGTCTTTTTAATTTAAGTGATTTACATAATAAAAATTAATATGGATGCTAGTTGTTTATTGGTTCGAGGATTCTGTCACGCCTCCTTCTTCCCATGAATCCTCTCTTTTCCCTCTTCTTCCTCCTCCTTATTCCTTCTTAATTTACCTATAAATTCTGCCCTAAACCCTAACAAATCTAACACACAGAAAAAAAAAAAAAATTCCTTTTCCGTCCCCCTCTTCTCTCCTCCACACAATTTCCAATCTTTATCACCCCCATTCTTATCTTTTGTCCATTTTCTCTTTTTTTAAAAGACCCCTTCTTTCTTTTTTCCCCAATTTGTTTCACATTTTTTTTTGCTCAATTTTTCATCTATATATACCCTCTAATAGTTTCATTCTTCATCTCACTACAACCCCTTTAACATTTTTGTGTTAAAGATCCAATCTTTTTCTTGTTTTCTTCAATTCTTGATTTTTTTTTCTATTGGTTTTAGCAATTACCATTTTAATAATAATGGCTATTGCTTACCCTCAATTTTTCAAACCCAAAAAAGTTGAACCTTCATTAATGGTTTCAGTTTCTTCTGTTAATTTATCACAAGATGAGCTGAAAAAAATTGCAGCATATAAAGCTGTTGAGTTTGTTGAGTCAGGTATGGTTGTTGGTTTAGGCACAGGTTCAACAGCAAAACATGCTGTAGACAAAATAGCTGAATTATTACACACTGGAAAATTAAAAAATATTATAGGAATACCAACTTCTAAGATTACACATGAACAAGCTGTTTCACTTGGTATTCCATTATCAGATCTGAATAAACATCCAATTGTTGATTTATCAATTGATGGTGCTGATGAAGTTGACCAAGAAATGAATTTGGTCAAAGGTAGAGGGGGTTCATTACTTAGAGAAAAAATGGTTGAAGCTGCTTCAAAAAAATTTATTGTTATAGTTGATGAGTCAAAATTGGTGAATTATTTAGGTGGTAGTGGACTTGCTATGCCTGTTGAAATTGTTCCTTTTTGTTGGGAATTTACACTTAAAAGGCTTGAAATGTTGTTTATTGAAGCTGGTTGTGTTGGGAAATTGAGAACTGTTGGAGAAAATGGTGAAGCTTATGTTACTGATAATGGTAATTATATTATTGATTTGTATTTCAAGAAAGATATGGGAGATTTGAAAGCTGCAAGTGATGCTATTTTGAGACTTGCTGGTGTTGTTGAGCATGGTATGTTTATTGATATGGCTACTACTGTTATTGTGGCTGGAAAACTTGGTGTTTCTGTTACTAATAAGGAGTAATAAATAGGATTAAGGTTGGAGTTTAGATCAGTTTATTATCTTTTTAGGTACCTTAGTTTTTACTAATTTTATTCAGCTGAGGTATTAGGATGTTATCTTGCTGAAATATTTATGTGGCAAGTGAAAAAAATGTGGTGCTTTTTGTACCAACTAATATATTGAATCGTTTGGGGTATTTTTGCCTCAAAGTTGCTATCTTTGAAAGGGCTCATTGATGAACAAATTTTTATGCTATTTCTTGATTATATCATTTTTTGGGATGATTTAGCATTTTTGAGTATTTGTGAGCTGATTTGAGGTTCATTGAGTTCTGTTGTCACCTGATTTTATATGTCCATTACTGTAGCATTTTTGACCGTTGCTCCGAGGTTCATTGAGCCTTGGAGCAACGATCAAGTTGTCTCCGTATGACCTATAGGTTATGGGTTCAAGCCGTTGAATCAGCCATTGATGCTTGCATCGATCAGGCTAGGCTGCCTACATCACACCCCCTTGGGGTGTGGTGTGAGCCCTTTCTTGAACCCTGCATGAACTTGAGATGCTTTGTGCACCAACCAGGTTGCCCTTTTTTTCAACTACTCCTATTATATTTGAATCTTCTGTAGTTGCTACTGGTTCATGGCAATATGACTCTACTTTTATGATGCTACATTGTTCCCTGCATATCATGTTGAAAGATCCTAAACTCTTCTTGAATTATATTTAGTGTACTTGTTTTGCCTTAATTTTTTCCTCGAGCCGAGGGTCTATCGGAAACCGTCTCTCTACCTTTTCGAGGTAGGGATAAGGTCTGCATACATACTACCTTCACCAGACCCCATTTGTCGGATTATACTGGGTTTTTTGTTGTTGTCGTACTTGTTTTGCCTTAATATCAGCATGTCTTGATGCACTGTGGATTAGTGCAGTTCTTAAACTTCAAGTCTTCAAATGTAATTAGTGAATACTGCTATTAGGTGTCTAACTCCCTGTTAACATTAACATCCCCTTAAAAGGGCAGCCTAGTGCACTAACCTCCTGCTATGCGCGGGATCTAGGGAAGGGTCGGACCACTAGGGAAATGCCTTATCCTGCATTTCTGCAAGAGGTTGTTCTCACTGCTCAAATCCGTGACCTCCTGGTCACATGACAACAATTTTACCAGGTACGCCAAGGCTCCCCTCTGAATGATTTTTGCATTGTTATGACTGCTAGTCTAGGGGAAATGATATAATGATATTGGTAGCCTAGTATAAACTGCTTTTAGCTGAAATGGAAGAAGGTTAAGGACTACAATTAACAATTATATAGGATGTTAACAGGTGTATATATTATGTCTTTGAAAAGAATGAACAATGATGTGAGCTCCATCTATAGTGTTACCAGTTGTGACACTTTAATTTGTTTGTCATTCTGTATGTTGGAAAGTATTCCTTTTTAGAATCAAGTGGTCCTCTCCTTCCCCACAACTTGTCACTTTTATGATTTTGATTTGATGTTCTGGACTACTGGGGACCTTGTGTATAATGTGGACAGATGATGTTTCTTTTAAGATTTGGATATTTATGACAATATTTTCATTTTATAATGTTGGTGTTCGAGTCAGCGTGCATATACCTTGATTATTCCACTAAATATCTGGTAACTCCACCAACTCAGGTATCGAAAAATTCTATTCATCAAGACTTAGGTAGATGAGAAGAAACTACATAAGATCTTATTATCTCTTATGCGATTTGATCTTGGCCTTCTTGATTTCTACCGACATTATTGACCATCTAGACTACACCCTTGAGTGCTGGAGAGATATTGATGAATCTAGCCGGGGTTTGGACCACATTATCTTTTCGGATAGGTGCGTATCTCACATGTATATCTATCTTGGTTAGAATATAGACATCATACGCTTCAATTATGGCCTCTGTTTTAGTTCTCTGTTGGATCCCTAGACTATATATCACGACTGTTACATTAAACCTTCAATTTATTTTGAAAGTGAATATGTTCCTCGGGCAAAGGAACATATGAAAATTCCAAGGTAGACCACCTCTGTGTTTATATATATTTGTGCAGAGATTTTGCAGTTTCTAGCATGTGAAAAGCCATATGTGTTTCAGCTGCTGGAATTTTCAAAGCTCTGGTTTGTTACAGACTTACAGTAGCACAGTGCTAAATTGAAGAAATAAGATCTCAACCTCTTGTTTCTAACATTACTGCTGTTGATAACTTAGTTTCCATACAGCAAATAATACGTATTTAAACACCGACAGTGAGTAGTACGTAATGTGTGGACTAAGTGCATATCATGAGTTCGAACCCTGACCCAAATTTGATAAGTTCCTTGATTAAAATTGTGTGCAGAATTTGGAAAACTCATCTTTTACTCTAACTATTAATTCTACCCCTAATGGATTGGTTGCTCGTAATTAGCTAGAGTATACGTAAGTATACTCGAACATCATCAATTAAAAAGTTAAAGGAATCATATAATATATAAAAAGGACAAAATAAGATTAGAAGACAAAACAAGATTAGAAGATCTTAGGTTGTTGAATTCTTTTGTACGTTGGTGCAATTTTGTTAGGTATGCATGCAAACGCCAAAGTATACGATCTATTTCACATGCCTTTTCAATTTAACACGTTTTGCGTGCTTTAATTTGTTGGTAGGTGGGAGTACTTTTAGGCAGGGGCGAGTTAGATCACCCTTCGCCGAAAAATTATACTACGTATAATGTAAAATATTATTAAAAATAGACTTTGAACACCCTTGCATAGCCCACTGGCAAAGAGTGTTCAAAATTTGAACATCCTTAATGAATTTCCTGGCTTCGCCACTGCTTACAGGGAATATGAAAATATACTCAAAGAGGATTGATATGGGCAACAAGGCCATATAGAGGTACCTCTAAAGGCTTAGATTTTTTCAACTACCCTAAGTTTGATAGGTGAAATAAGCTCTAAAACGTTTTACCCTTGGTAAATAAGTAATGAATGTCGCAAAAAATAGCAGCTCACTGGATGTAGGCAACAACCTATCCTAATGAAGCATTAGTGGTTAATTATGCGACTTGAACATGTGACCTATAGGTCATAGATGATAACTTTACCGTTGCTCCAAGACTCCCTTTCAATGAATGTTACAAAAAAAATTATAAATTTTTTAAAAAATGTCGATCCCTTTGTATTCAATTTTTATGGTCCCAGCCATTTGAGTTAACCTATATATACACGACTTTATCTCTCTTTTAGGGGTGAAAATAGAAGAGTCAATTGCTCAAAATGTACAAATATTTCCAACTATAGACTCACAAGGTATGGTTTATACAATTCCTCAAGGATGAGTTTAATAAACAGCAATCAGATTTCTTATTGAAAGCCAGTGCAAAGCATGTTTGCTTACCCCATAAGACCTCCACTTGTCACAATCGATAAGTTATTCGGATGAGTGATGTCCTGTGCTTCTGCAAATATTACAGTGATTCTAATGAAGGTAATTATGAAGCAAGATTGACATAGGCTCTAATATGCTGTCAACCACATCCCCTAGCAACACCTACAACGTATACAGAAGCCTCAATTAGTCATACACTCGTTCTTGTCAGGTTTGTATCTGTGTGGCGAATTCAACAATATATACATATACAGATTAAAAAAGATTCACATATATACATAATACAATTTTCCAGCAAAGGCGATTCAGTTGAAACTCCTTTGGTACATGTGGCTCCGGCCACTGGTATTTGTTACCTTTTCTTGTAGTAATTTGATGTCGAAAAAGACTAGCCTGAAAATGTTCCTGGCAAGCTGTTAGTTATGACCAAGAGACATAAAAAAGGAGCCATGTTTGTGACATAGTCCACGACTTCCTTCTCATTGCTGAAAATGTAGCCAAATACGTTTCGACAGTTGTGTTTAAATATATCGTCTCTATTGTGGCTGCATTAATGAGCATTGCAGAAAGCACAGACACGCGAGCTCCTTGAGGATTTCCAGCTCCTAACTGATTAGAAACTCGTGTGCTGAAAGTAAACAGGAGTTTAATATCCATATATTTGAGAAACAAACACATGGAAGTGAAAAGTCGGATTAAATACTCATAAAAACCTTACAGCGCAGAGAGACAGAATGGAATTGCATAAAGGGTAGAATGGTGTTCAGGCTGCAGTACTGTGGAATGTCACAAGAAATTAGCAACTCGTAGATAATATTACTGACAGAATCAGTCATTCAAGAGCGAGAGTCAGAACCATATAGACAGAACTGAAGTTTCAAATGACCACCACTCAAGACTTCAAAACGCAACACGAGGCATGAGTTTCATTCAAATACAGATGAGCTGAAGTTGTGTGCAAATTCTTAAAATAAGTGGAGGAAGGAGCTGGAGTACCAAATCATGTTTGCACTAGGGATGGCAAACTGAAAGAATTCTCTCATTCCCTGGCTTCTTGCAGAAATGCAAGATAAGGCTGCGTACGATAGACCCTTGTGGTTCGGCCCTTTCCCGAACCCCGCACATAGCGGGAGCTTAGTGCACTGAGCTGCTCTTATGTGCTAGGTAAGTACGATTGCTCGGTTAGTCAGAAGATGGACACCCCTTACTTACCAAAGGGAAAAAAAGAAAAAAAAAGGAAAGGACAAACAGATAGTCAAACAAAGCAAAACAGCTTTCTTTGTCATACACGAAATTCTCTTTTTTCTTACTACTTTCTTTCTGTTATTTGTTTCTTCACTTCACTCTATGCTCACAAAGTTACAGCCGAAAAAAATTATATCCTGGTGGTTTAATGCAGGCTTTATGAGAAGGCGTAACTGGCTCTTGTTGGATTGGCTGAAGTAAGTTCCAGTTCTGGTACTGGTCGAGTACCAGATTTAATAGCTATAATTATGATTTATGAATGCTTAGAAGGGGAACCTTGAAGCAACGGTAAGGTTGTCTCCATGTGACATATAGGTTACGGGTTCGAGCCGTGGAAGCAGCCACTAATGCTTATATTACATTAGGTTGCTTACATTACACCTCTTGGGTGCGGCCCTTCGCGGGATGCCTTATTCACCGAGCTGCCCTTAGTTATGAATGCTAAATGATTGGTAACACCTATAGATGATTGATCCATACGATATGAATTTAGCTACATATTGGGTCGAAATCTTCATCACATCACACAATAGAGGCATAACAACAACAACAACAACGATCCAGTGAAATTTCACTAGTGGTCTGGGGAGCATAGTGTACGCAGACCTTACCCCTGC